ATGGCAGCCAAGAGACGGTGTCCGACACAAAATCACGGGGAAGTATCGCAACCAGCGATCATTCCTGCACCAGCCTCAGCGGGCAATGCCGCTTCTGCAGAAGAAGTCGAAGAAGTCTATCCAAATTTGGTAGAAAATGAAGAAAAGGCTGATGAAGAGGGGGCAACAGTTGTTGCCGCAGCACAGGTTGAGGAGTTAATCGGCCCAATGGACGAAGAGGGCGAGCACTTGTCAGCGAATGCTGCCGGGGAAGACGATATGGTTGACAGTCTGACTCCTCCGCCTTCTCGGCTGTCTGCAGCAGCAGCCTCGTGCGGGCAACCTCTCCGCGGTGCGGGTTGGTCATCAAGTTTGCCAAGCCTTCCAAACGAGCCCATATATAAGTCCCAGTGGCCTCGGTGAAGGAGGGAAGCGTGAGCGGGAACCATCCGCCCAACTCACAGAGCCCAAGCAGTCCCGACAAGCAGGGATCATGCGGCATGTGTGCTCGCGGGTAGATCCGCAGCAATATGCCTTTGTCAGGGGACAGAAGGACCCATGTGTGTTTCGAGGCGCAAAGACAGGCATTATCCTGCTGCACCACATCGACGACATCCGAGCTGCTGGACCAGATAAAACTAAAACTTTAGCACAGCTTTTTGAAAAAGAGTTGCCCCGACTTTGCGAAGTTCAAGCGGGCGAACTTGAGCGGGAAGGCACTGCCGTGGAATATCTCGGCCGGACCGAGATCCGAACAAAGGATACGACCATCACAGTGCCAGATGAACGCCATTAGAAGGCCGTGATTTCCGCAGCGGGCATTTCTGCCAAGGACCGTAGTGACGTCCCTTCCAAACAACTCAACGTCCTAGAGACTGAGCCATTGGATGGGGCGCAATGTAATATGTACAAGAGCGCGGTAGGCTCAGCCATCCCCCTGTCGCCTGACAGGAGGGATATACAATTTGCTGTCAAGGAAGCTGCGCGAAGAATGTCGAACCCCAGGACGTGTGACATGCAGTCTGTGAAAAATTTGGCAGCATACTTGCAGGCACATCCCGCCGTTTCAAGGGTGATTACCTGTGATCAGAAAGTCGGTGAGCCCTGGTCGATAGAACTTCACAGCGACAGCGACTGGGCAGGATGCCTGGAGACACGCAGGTCAAACAACCATCTTGCCATTGTGGCAGGGGCAGTTGTGACTTGCACAACTCAAACCCAACCGGGTTTACCTGCAACGTCTTCGCTTGATGCCGAGCTTCAAGGAGTGTCTCGAGCGGCACGAGAAGGGATCTTCTTGAAGGATCTCATCACTCTCGACTTTGGGGAGACGTGCGGACAAAGCGCATTGGCCCTGGAGCCAAACTGCGAGGTGTGTGAGTTTTACCTGCAGGGAGCCTTGCAGGCCAAGCTGTTGTCCTCAGGAGAAGTCAAGGGAACAGTGAACTGTGCGAATTTTCTCACAAGCATCCCAAGTCGGGAACGGAGGTGCGACAAGCACTGCCTGGATTTGGAATGTATGAGCCTCCGAAAGGAGAAAACATCCTTTCAACTTCAAAACGCATCAATGTAAAAGTGCCCCAAATCAACAAACAGCAAACATGGAAGACACCAATCCCAGCTTCTGTCGCCTGGACTCACAAGCAGGCAGAAGGAGCGGGAAAGACCGCCACGGTGAATCAAGGGAACGCCAAGGTCAACGCCATTAAGACCCTGGTGCTCCTGAGCCAGGTTAATGCTGTCGCAGCGCAGCAGCAGGAAATCAACACTTGGCAGCTATTGATCCTCTATGTTCTGGCAGCTATTGGAACTATCACCGTGTGGTTGAAAGTGTGTCAACTTAGCGGGCAAATTGCGGAATGGTTTTTTCCTCTTGAGCCAGAAGAACTTGTTCCTGCTCAAGGAGCGGAAATTCAGCTGCAGATTCAAGGATCCCAAGTTCAGCTAGCTGAATGTGAGGGTCACCGCAACCCGCAATGGAAGAGAACTAGCAATCACAGCCGGAAATGCTCGAATAGCTGAGCGGAAGCCCCGCGGCAGTCAGAAAAGGAAGATGAAGCAAACATGACCCTGGAGGAGCTCATCAGATGGCGCAGACAAGAAGAGCGACTGATCCATGGTGAGGATCCCGATTTCGGAGAGGAGCGGCGCCTCCGCTGAGGAAGAATGTTCAGAGGAGCGGGATGTCCCGCCAGAGCGGGAAGACCCGCCAGAGCGGTCTGGAGCGGGCAGATCCGCCGCAGCGAGAGCCCGAGTCCCAACAAGACGTTGATGATATAACTCGAGGCGATCCCTTCCAGAACATGACGGAAGAGGAGCTCGCTGCGTGGCGAAGAGGCGAAGATCGGTTCTTAGGGTCCGGCTACGGAGATCAGGTCTTTGACTCCGACGAAGACCTGTAGGAAGGCCTCACCAAAACACATGTCACTCTAAGGAGGGTGGCAACATACCATGAGTAAAACCTCATGTTTAGCATGTGCTGTAGAGATGACAGGTCATGTAAGACACGTGCATGTTCGCAGCCGCCTTTTGTGAGCACACGTCGTGCTTCAAGGAAAAAATATGACGCTTGTGTGTTGCACTAGGTTTGTAACTAGGATAGAGCCCAATACTCCCGACCACTGCTCCCTCGGCTTTTGCACAATCATTCCATCCTTTTAGCACATGTTGCCTTACCTCATTTTGGGTGTGTCCCGACTTGCTTTGGCTCAAGTGCTGTCAAAACAAGCGTCTTGGCAGCTGCTCACTGTTGCATTCATCAAGTCCCTAACGTGGCTGTGGTTAAGTGACTTAACTGGTTAGCAGCCTCAGCTAATTCCATATCTTCGCTTGCCTTAAGCTTGAGCCCCTGAGTTAGGCGTCCAAATTAAAAAGTACTTGACACCACACCCCAACCAGTGCCATTCCGGGTTGCTGCCTGTGTTGTGTCTGTGTCTTGCAATCCCAACGTCCGGGAACAATTTCCCTTGGATGTTCACAAAAGCTGAGCAGACTTCTCGGCAAGGACCATAGTTGCGCTGCTGGCGGGGGTTTGCATATGTGCAACACCACCTGAAACCAACCTCCATAAATAAGGTAAGTTGATCCCTTACTAATAAGTGCGTGACCGTTTGCCTGTAATCCAAAAGCCGTCGGGGCGTTGCCATCCATTGCAACACCGACTTAATCAATCCAGCCAGGGAACCACTTTGCATCCGAACCATCCAAACGGTGTTGCTTTTGTATTGCATTCGTGTCCCTGAATCATGTTCGAATCACAAAAGTATTTGTTCAAAAGGTTGCAATAAGATTCCTCTGGGTTTCAAGCGTCCATACCAAGAAATAACTTCGTCTGGCATGTTGTTCTTGCAACTGCGTTTGAAGATCCAAAGTTACACAGTTCCAAGGAATATCCAAGTGAATCAGATTCTGTGGCACACGGTCCAAGCTATCGCGGCCCGTTTCACTGCTACCTGTTTCACTGCAAGAGCGGCGCGTTCTGAGTTTGTTTGTGGATGGTCTGATCGGCACCTTCAGATCTCCGTCGTCGAAGGTCGAGGTCTCGTGCCAGAGTCTGGCAGGACATTGACTTGACAAAACAAGGCACTTGGAAAGTGTATTCAATCAGATCAGAAGGGAGAACCGAGCAGGGATTCATTGCTGGCGACGTTACAAGTCAGCTTGTTTGAACCCGTTGGCACACGCGTTCTTTGTGCTGCAGTCTTTGACCCGCTTATCATATCCACACTCAAATCGTCACCTTTTGCAGAGAGCGGGACAAATGCGAGATCGCATCAACCAGTGGAAGCGAAACCACTCGCCGTCCAGGTGGGAACCAGTTTTGCCTTCAGACTATGACACCGAGACAATTGATAGCCAGTTGGCAGAAACTGTTGCGATCACATCGGCATCAGAAAACGCACCAGAGACATTGGACAACCCAGGTGGGGTTTGGAGCCCCAGCACCGTCAGGCAATCCGCTGCTGAGAAATCCGAGATCTTCAAGCCGGGTTCCAAGGCCTCCGAACTATCATCCGCCAAGGCGTGTTGAAGTTGAACTAGTTTATAGGGGTGATATGACCAAAGACAAATTCAACCAACATGTTTTCTTCAACGAAGCCGAAGCCGCTACCACTCCGACAATGATCTCACGCTTTGGTTCGGGTGCCTGACAACGAGTTCTTTGCATTCAAGCACACATGGGCGATCTTGCGCTTTGAGCTATGGAAGAGTGGAAGAAAATCTATGATCCTTCTACTCGCCTTGCAGTGAAGCCAATAAAATCGTTGTATGGTCATCCGCAACCAATAAATTTGTGGCAAACCCATCTCGAAAAGCAGTTAATTGAAATGAAAGGAGTCTCTTTAGAATCATACCCTTCAAACTTTGTTTTCAGACGGGGGAAGAATGATGAACATAAGTTAATCTTAAATGTTCCCGTAGATGACCTGACACTAGCTGGGGGCACCAAAGAAACACAACAGGAATTCTGGAAAGAACTTCAGCGAAGGGCCAAGGTTGAACCAGAAGAGTTCATCTCCGAAACTGGAACGAAGATCCTTGCGAGAACACACATGACTCAAAGAACCCCCAAAGAAATTTCAATGACCTATGGCATGAGTTCATATGCAAAGGGGATTGTAAGTTTTCACCGCGAACCCACTGGAACACCAGTAGAGAAACTGAGAAAGGTCGAGACTCCATGTCTTCCAAAGTCTCAAATGTCCGAAGAAGAGCTTGCGCAGCACAATCATGCCACCAAAGCGCTCATGCGATGCCTTTGGTTGTCTTGTTTGGCCAGACCTGACTTAAGTTTTGCAGTGTAACGGCTTGCAAGTAGAGTAACTCGTTGGACGTTGTGGGAAGACAGGCAGATGCTCAGATTAATCAGCTACGTTCACTCAACCGCTGACCACATGATCCAGGCGACTGTCGGCCCCAACGAATCTCCAGAGCTGGTTGTATATACAGATTCTGATTTTGCTTCATGCCCACACGGCCAGGAGCACTTCAGGAGTTGCGTACATCCTGAAAACTGGTGACGCTCGATACCCATTGTTATGGTCATCAAAGAAACAGAGTTCAACAGCGAGATCAGCTACTGAAGCAGAGCTGATAGCCTGTGCTACTGCTCTATTTGGCGAAGTTTTGAATCTGCATACGATGATCGAGTTATTGGTTGGGATGCATGTTCCAATTGTCTTTGAACAGGACAATCAAGCAGCCATCACAGTGATGACCACAGGTTACTCAGCGAAGCTACGACAGTGTGGTCGCGTACATCGCGTTAATGTTGCGTCCATTCACGAGCAACTGGAACAAGAGATCTTCACTCTGAGATATTGTGAGACATCCGCACAAGCAGCCAATGGACTCACAAAGGTCATCACTTCGTCAGAATGGCAGCAAACGCTAGGGTCTAGAGCAACTTTGCCTTAAGCCTAAGTAGTTGTAGATCCATAGGATTCAATGAGCGAAATTGGCCAGATGTTTGCTTGACATCTTGGTCCCTGAGCTTGTAAATAAGGCGCATGTGCACGTATAGCATGAGGGGGGTTGTTTTTGCAGGTATCGCCATGCAATCATTCCATCCTTTTATGCGCATGTTGTCTTGCTTCATTTTGGGTGTGTCCGGACTTACTTTGGCTCAAATGCTGTCAAAACAAGCGTCTTGGCAGCTGCTCACTGTTGCGTTCATTAAATCCCTAACTTGGCTGTGATTACGTGATTTAACTATCATAGCTGCATCTTTGCCGCTGCGGCCGAAAAAATCATGGCAAGTGAAACTTCCAAGTGGCATTTCGCCCCCAGCACCGTCAAATCATTCAACAAATTGATAATAGCTTCAAACTGATTAGGCAGCCTTTCCGTATGCCAGCTATGCCAGCCCGAACATGAAACGCACGGCTGCGACCTTAACCCGTGAAACTTTAGCTGCACCGGTTAACTTTTTGATGCTCGCGTAATGATGGGCGCAGCATTTGCCATGGAGTCATTCTCGTTTTGTGGTTTTGTCACGCCTTGTAGCATGATTTTTTTTTTATGTTTCGGCTGCTTGTGCCCGATTTCAATTGGAATCAACCGGATACTTTGGTGACGTCAAACCCTGGTGACGGTAGTTGCAATTATTGTCATCGCGTGCAGCGTGAACCAATTTGGTTTTTGGAGGGTGACGCCTTCAAGCGAAAATATGCCTGCGATTCTGCGATCGAAAAAGGTTGGAATGTTGGAATTCAAGGTCTTCCGCTAACAGTGGAGTCACTGGCCATAAACGTAATGGTTCAATTAAGGAAGGACAGCACTGTGCAGGACAAAAATTCTTCAGACCCGCAGCCTACAACCTCTTGTTAGACAGGTAGCAGATCTTTCCGCTCATCGGGTCTGATCCTTGCAGGGTATCGCCATCAGGCGCAGATTCCCTTTGTGGTCTTGGTTTTTATTTCATAAATGTCCAAGTGCATTGGACTTATCCCAAGGAGAAAAATAGTGAGCGTGGGGGCCACCTACAAGTCAAGAGCTATGATTCGGAGTTTGCATCAAAGAAACATCTCACATTTTCGATGATTTGGGTGTTTTTTTGAACGACCTCCCTGGTTGCCTGTGACGTAGATCCACCCCCAGAGGATGGCCAAGTTCAAACCCGGCCTTGAGGATGGGGAGGGATGAGCCCAGGTTTTGTGGAAGTTGTGAGAACGGGTAGGTGGTGTGGGTGCCTCCATTGGGCAACTGGCACCACCTGTTCTTTTTTTGATTTCTTGCAACTTCTTTGGGGACGCAAGGTATGGGCGCTTGTGGTTTGATGCTGCGGATGGGGATGGGGTTGTGCCACTCAGAAAATATCCAAGTTTCAGAGTTGCCTTGAGTCCTGTGATTGGAAGCGCAGGGTCGGCGCGTTGTTTTTTTTGGATTGATGCGTTGTTGTGCTTCTGTGAAGCCGCCTCCGGGTCAAGTTTTTGGCAGAGACGGATTTTCCGTTACTCAGGTGTCTTGGAATGAATTTTGGAACGGAAAAGAGTTGAAAGGTGTGCTGCTGGCAGGGAATTGTCAAGACAAACCCAAACGCAGCGTACCTCCGCCGAAGGAAGGTTCTCAGTGTTTCATTTCTTTCTTGCAGGCCTCCCACGATCTTACGTCAAGTGATATGTCCACTACTTTTGTATCTTTTATCTCTCCAGTTAGATCTTGGTTGTCCCCTGTGGTTTCCGTTGCTTATCCATGCTTATCTTCCGCACCATGGAGCGCGCCAACCAGCTGGCGGAGACTTCCCTGAAGGAGGCCATGGCGGAGCTTTCGAAGAAGCTTGGCCTCTTCGAACGCGTTCGTCACGTTTGCCAATCCGTGGAGATTCCGCTGCCCGGAGTGGTGGTGGTTGGGGAACAGTCGGCTGGGAAGTCGTCCCTGTTGGAAAACATCTCCGGGATTCAGTTCCCCAGGGCGCAGAACACGTGCACACGGATGCCTTGTGTGCTGACGTTGCTGACCGACCCGACGGTGCAAGAGTCCTTCGCAGAGGTGTCGATGGATTCCAGTTTTGCCGATGTTCCCTGGATGTGTTTCGTTTTTTCTTTTGGTGCGGCTCTTTAATGCATAAAGCTTAGGATGAACCTGGAATAGATGGCGCAGGGAAAATGTTGTCTCACCAACGGACATTGAACCAAGGAGTGTCTAAGGACTGGGAGGGTCTGTGCGATCTTGTGGGAGGTTCTGAGCAACCTTAGGGTACAGACGATAGCAGGGGTTCGATCTGAACATTGCAAAGTTAACATCATTAAACCACATAATCCAGGTGGTGTTCTCTTCAGCCAAGGCGAAGAAATGCACCGTGCCGCACGTTGAACAGCAGATCAAACTCCTGACGGACAAACATGCCATCGGCGACCAGTTCATCTCAAGCCAGGCCCTGTCTGATGCGATGTGTTTGGCGATTTTGATTAGCTGCTGGATTCCTGGATGATGCAATTCAACTTTGATAAGATTTGATCCTTCCATGTTTTGTAAATTGGAACCCGCTGGTTGTGAGTCTTGTGCCTGCAACTCTTGTGCCTGCAGGCCCTGTACGTTCGCGTGGTTCGCAAGGAGGGGCCTCAACTGTCTCTGATCGATCTTCCTGGCGTGACTCACAACGCCGATCAGATGCAGAACATCCACGAGGCTGGGAGGAAATGATTTCCAAGGATGGAGACAGTAGGAAACAATTATATAATTATGTTCGCTCCCCAGAGGACTGTTGATATGCGGATATGATATGTGTCTACTGTCAGAAGATGGCTGTCGCAATTCATGCTCAACTTTGCCACTTCGACTCATTGTGTAACATTGTCATTGTGGTTCTAGTCTTTGCATGTCAGGTCACCGTGAAGCTGGTCGAGGAATACATCAAACCCGAAGAGATGGTCATTCTTTGTGTCATCCCCGCCATGTCTGACTTTGGCAATGCCGAGGCAGCTGGTTGTGGTTCAGTTTAGCAGCAGTTCGGGGTTCTTTTCCATGCTAGTGTGAATGTCGGTACGCATGTTTTACATCATGTTGCACCGTTACACTATGTTACATCCATGTCATAGTCATAGTCTGAATTAATTAGCCAAGATCATCATGTCACAAAATCAAACTGCTCTTTCTCATGGGTTTCAAGTAGCTTAGAAGCCTTGTCGGATTCTGTCAATTTCAAACGGTCACAGCTTCAGAATTGTCAGCCAAATGATCCCAGTTGTTTTTTTACAGGTCGTGAAGCTGGCGCGGAAGTACGACCCGGACGGCATCCGTACCTTGGGCGTGGTGACGAAGTGCGACGATGCCGCCAAAGCCGAAGCCTCCGATGTGGTCGAGAAGGCGTTTTCTTTATTGGGAGACGACGGGTGTGTAGAATGGCTATTGAATAAACAATTAAAAAATGAGAGTGCCGCTTGAGCAAAGCTGGTCGCCCTGAGTATGAAGTAGCAAACCGTCCAATTGGATCTAATTGGTTCATCTCATTTTGAGCCGTACCAGCCATGCCGCCCACATCAAAGGGGGGGTGACATGGATGGACTCATCACCGCTTTCAGCTTTTAGCTTTTGTGTCAAAGTGCTGATCTGCTGATGTTTCTGTTTCTTTTGCAGGTTTTGATGTCGAGACCCTCCGATGTTCGTCTGGCATTGGGCTTTCACTGCGTGGTGAATCGCTCGCAGAAGAACATCGACGAGCAAATGAGTCGCAAAGAACTTTGGGCCAAGGAAAAGGGTATCTTTACCAACAGCAATCGCATGAAAAAGTTGCCAGAGGACAACTGGGGTACCATGCGATTAATGGAAAAAGTCGCCAAGATTCAAGAAGCTCGTGTGGATGAATGTCTCCCGAAGATCAAGGAAGCAGTCCGACGGAAGACCGTTGAACTTCGGGAGGAATTGCGTCAGTTACCGGTCCAAGCAGAGACCAAGGCGGAGCAGCTTCATCTCTTCAATGGAATTCTTGTTCGGATCAGAGATGATTTGGTGCGCCGGATCCGGGCTGAGTTCATCAGCGACAAGACTTCGGACCGGGAGCTGACAATTGCTCCGATTGTCGATTCGATGGTTCAGAAGTTCAGGAAAGAGCTGGAGGCCCGAAATCCAGACTGGCTCGGACAAGAAATGATTGACCGGGTGACAGACAAAGTGGAGACTTTTGTGCAAGGCCACACTGTGGATAACTTGATTGGCCCACAGGTCTTTATCAACCTCATCAAGCAGATCTTCATTGAAGAAGGCCTCTTGAAAGAGAGTGTGAATGACTTGATAACAGAGGTTGGGGAACACCTTCGCAGAGTGGTGGAACATGTCATTGAGATCCACGGGAGCATCAATGGCGTCCTTCCCAGCCGTTTGGATGCAAAAGCTGAGGAATGCATCCACCAACTCACAGTCACAACCCAAAAGGTTTGTGAGATGTTGGCTGAAGCTCAACAAGTCACTTCGACCACGCATCGCCAGTATATGGTGATACTGACCCACTTCCAAAAGTCGTGGTTTCAGCAGTCTGATGCAGATTTTGTCATGTCCCAAGCACATCCTGATCATCCTGGAGGTCAGATTGAGCTGCCGGCAGAGTTCTTGAGCTTGGTGAAGAACGCCACAAGAGAACCCGCGAAGCTGGCAGTCCTGGAGCTTGCTGCTTCATTGCACGTCTACACTGGGTTCATGATTGAAGGTTTTGCAGAAATGGCGGCCAAACTCATCAAGTTCAACATGGTGGAGCAGCTGGCAGAAAAGCTGGAGGAACTCTGGCGAAACCAGTTTGGTGAAAGTACCTTGCCTGAACTCTTTCCCAGGGATGACCTGGCTTGGCAAAAGCAAGACCTTGAAGAGAAGATCAAAGTGTTATCGGAGTTCAAGGCCCGTGGGAGGGTCAATTTTTTTAGCAGAGAAACGAGGCTCTTGTTGCGGTTGTTTGTGTTGCCAACTTTGTTAAGCCACCCGGCCTTTGAGAAACAGTTCCAGGTTCAGACCTGGCTTCCCCCTGCGAGGAGCAACTGATGAGTCTGCGGACTGCGGCGCCTCCACCAAGGCGTAAGCGAAAGGCAGAAGGTGTCGTGGGCAGCGCTGAGGCTAAGCGTTTAAAGGCCGGCACTCGAGCGCAGATTTGGTACGCTGATCGAGGGATGGCCCAAAATTGATGGGCCTGGAAACCACAGGTCCCGGAAACCTTTGCCTATGTTTTCATAGGTTGAATATCAAGTCAAACCATTGTTGGTGCGCACTTTTTATCCAAGCCAATTTTATTCCTTGCAGATTTGTCATGGTGCATGCAGGGCCCTTGGGCATGAAGAAAATTTGTCGCTGCTATGCTGCTTCCAGGCCTGGGCCCCGGCCACTGCAAAAACACAAGCGCTTCAGGCCACCTTTGTGTGGGACTTTGCGAAAGATGTGGAGGGCAAGACATGCCAAAAGGGCGACGAAATCAAGAGCCAGAAGTTCAGCCTGTTGGGTGTGCCCGATCTGCAGATGAGCTTGTATCCGCAGGGGCATACAAAAGCCAAAGAGGGCCACATGTCCCTGTTCCTCTATGCCCCTGCAGGGTGGCAGATCAAGTACAAGATGTACAAGGCAACGTGTGGGGATGAGGTGAAGACACTTTTGCACACTTTCGATGATGATGAGGGGTGGGGATGGCCAAACTTTGCCCCCATCAGTGACAAGACGACCAAGATTGCCGTGGAGCTCCTTGAGGCCGTTTCACCGGAGGCAAAGGCCTAGTTCACCACATGGTGCTGACAGAGCCTTGAAGGGATTCGCCTTGTAAAAGGGTGCACCCTTTGATCGGATCCCAATTTTGAATCTTAACGATTTAGAAGATGGCTTGACTTGGACATGAGGGAGCTTGGAGAGGCCACAATGGTCCCTGGCTACCCTCTGACAGGCCCAAGCAAGCTGGAGACGCAGAACCCCCTTTAAATTTGCTTAGTTTTCAGATTTGCGTGCAGAAAAACGCGTCGAGAAGCTCAGCTGAAGCGGACCATCTTCTTACTTGGATGTGGGTCCCAGTTAAGAAAGAACTGTTCAAAAAGCATGGTTGCAGAATGCTACAATGCTACAACATGCTATAATTGACCCCGCTATGGATGGGACAACCCTAGTATACAACTATCAGCTTGACGATTGCCTAGTTGTCAACTGAGATGCGCAATCCAAGTAGCAGGTGCAGTTTATGCGTTAGCGAAGCCGCTTACAGGTGCCTTGCAGCTGCGCCATGGCATTCCAGTCTCAAGAGCGAGGCGTCCGAGTCCCAAACGGGTGGAAATTGGCAGCGCTGTGCGTTGGATCAAATGCTGCATGTGTTGCAGAGTCTGCAGGTTTCTCCACAGGCTCTCAAGCTATGATGGGCTCTTGAAGATTTTATAAACGACCAACAGATTTCTTCAGGATACCCTCGGAACCGAAAGGGTTTGAGAGATTCCATGAGATTCCGGGATTGCTCTGAATTCCTCATGTCAGAGCCTTTGGATCAAGTTTTGAGATCATCCTACCGGTCCTACTCTGTACCTTGGGCCAAACTTCCACCAGGGGAGGGGGTTGGGAGTGCGCGCAAGAGATCATCGGGAAGACGGAGGTCTGATATCGTATAGGTTTCAGTTGGTGCGAAGGAATTTCATGGTCATCGTGTGCTGAGAAGGGTTAAGCATAGCGATCACTACCGGAAGGCTGGGAATAGAATTGGAACATCTGAAACGTAGGCTGGGTCACCCGAGGCAATTAAAAACCAATGAGTTGTTCCAGAGTTTCAGAACCTAATACTCTTTCAATCTTTTCTAATGAAATTATACACGAGCTATCAGCTATTGGTCAAACAAAATCTTTTCGCCAGGCCAAAGAAAGGAAATCTTCTTCAGGACTCAAAGGCTATCTTTAGATCTTTTGTCCGCAGTGGTTGCAAGTGCTTATATTCTTCGCTCCTTTCTCATCAAATTGTGAGCTTCCATGCGGACGTGATAGTACTTCCACAGACAATACAGTACAAATCTTCCCCATAACTCCAAAGCTAGCAGTAGATTCCGTCGACACAGATCGCACACATACCGACTCTATTTGGGCTGCCCGGCTATTCCTAGATCTTGGTCCTCACTGCTGGTTGCAGTTGCTTACATCTTTAAGCTCAGCGGCCATACTTCTTGTTTCACACGAGACCTCAACCGTGACACACCCATGGTGTTGGAAGTTCTGGCTGCACCACCCGAGGCCTTCTGCACCATGGAGCGCGCCAACCAGCTGGCGGAGACTTCTCTGAAGGAGGCCATGGCGGAGCTTTCGAAGAAGCTTGGCCTCTTCGAACGCGTTCGCCACGTTTGCCAATCCGTGGAGATTCCGCTGCCTGGAGTGGTCGTGGTGGGAGAGCAGTCCGCTGGGAAGTCGTCCCTGTTGGAAAACATCTCCGGGATCCAGTTCCCCAGGGCGCAGAACACGTGCACGCGGATGCCTTGTGTGCTGACGTTGCTGACCGACCCGACGGTGCAAGAGTCTTTCGCAGAGGTGTCGATGGATTCCAGTTTTGCCGATGTTCCCTGGATGTGTTTCGTTTTTTCTTTTGGTGCGGCTCTTTAATGCATAAAGCTTAGGATGAACCTGGAATAGATGGCGCAGGGAAAATGTTGTCTCACCAACGGACATTGAACCAAGGAGTGTCTAAGGACTGGGAGGGTCTGTGCGATCTTGTGGGAGGTTCTGAGCAACCTTAGGGTACAGACGATAGCAGGGGTTCGATCTGAACATTGCAAAGTTAACATCATTAAACCACATAATCCAGGTGGTGTTCTCTTCAGCCAAGGCGAAGAAATGCACGGTGCCGCAAGTTGAACAGCAGATCAAACTCCTGACGGACAAACATGCCACCGGCGACCAGTTCATCTCAAGCCAGGCCCTGTTTGATGCGATGTGTTTGGCAATTTTGATTAGCTGCTGGATTCCTGGATGATGCAATTCAACTTTGATAAGGTTTGATCCTTCCATGTTTGTAAATTGGAACCCGCTGGTTGTGAGTCTTGTGCCTGCAAGTCTTGTGCCTGCAGGCCCTGTACGTTCGCGTGGTTCGCAAGGAGGGGCCTCAACTGTCTCTGATCGATCTTCCTGGCGTGACTCACAACGCCGATCAGATGCAGAACATCCACGAGGCCGGGAGCAAGTGATTTGCAACAGAAAGAAACAGTCATATTCGCTGGCCAGAGGACTTTTGATACTCGTATGTGGAATGTGGATATGTATCCTCCTTCAAATTTCAGCTACGAAATGGGGAGGACTTGGGCTACAGTACAGATTGCCAGCCAGCATTTTTTTGTACAAACAGGAGGGGTTGTGCCCCCCATTTTGTATTTGGAATCATTTTGTAGTTGATTCCTTTCAAATCATGCATTTTCATTTTGTAGTTGTATATGTTGAGTTAGTTGAAGCATCCAACATAAAATTCATTAGCATTTTGTAGTTGTACAAGTTGAATAGTTGAAGCATCCAACATAAAATCTCATTTGCACTGTACAGGTTGAATAGTTGATCCAACTAAATCCAATCATTGACAACTACAAAATGTTCTCCGAATTTATGTTGGTCGGAACTTTGGATGGCAAAGACCCAACTACAAAATGTCATTGGGAAAAATCATGTTAGAAATTCCGACGTTCAGCTATTTTTTTGACTTCAGATGCATTGGATTTTGTAGTACTGGTTTTGAATTATTTTCCGAGCCAGAAAGAGTTATGTTCTTCATTTTGTAGCTGGAAAAAAAGTACATGCACTTGCATTTTGTAGTTGTGCACCCTGTGCATTCCGCTCTGTATCTACCAAAACCATCTGCACAACTCCTCCCCCCTTATCTGAACCCTGATGGATATGTGGCTACTGAGTTACTGTCAGAGGAATGGCTGTCGCAACATTCATGCTCAACTTTGCTACACCATAGCATGCCATAACTACCCTTGCCCATTGTGGTTCCAGTCTTCTGCAAGTCAGGTCACCGTGAAGCTGGTCGAGGAATACATCAAACCCGAAGAGATGGTCATTCTTTGTGTCATCCCCGCCATGTCTGACTTTGGCAATGCCGAGGTCAGCTGGTTTTGGTTCAGCTAATAGGAGCAGTTCAGGGTTCGTTTCGACCTGAGCGTGAATGTTGGCATATAGTTTATATCAGTTTATCCGATGTATAAATCCATTCTTGTCACTCATGAGTCTGAAATAGCTTTGAAGTCTTCTTGGATGCTACAAATGACTTCCAGTAGCCTTTTCTGGAGGTCGTGAAGCTGGCACGGAAGTACGACCCGGACGGCATCCGCACCCTGGGCGTGGTGACCAAGTGCGACGATGCCGCCCACGCTGAAGCGTCTGACGTGGTCGAGAAGGCGTTTGTTTTATTGGGAGACACTGGATGTCTCGAATGGATATAGATATAGATTATAGATATAGATATAAATATAGATAAAACATGATAAAATCAATCCACCAGAACCAGAACTGGTCATTTTGAGTATGAAGATGTCTAAAGACAATTAAAGCATCCACGTCTTGTGGATGGAAATTGGGGACATACATGGACATACCGATTTTGAGCCATACAGGTGATGCCCACATGTAGGGGGGCTGGTGTGGACTTGTTTGATCATTGCTTTCGGTATTTTTGCCTTAATGTGACAGTGCTGATCTCCTGATGTTTTTTTTTGGCAGGTTTTGATGTCGAGATCTTCCGATGTTCGTCTTGAATTGGGCTTTCATTGCGTGGTGAACCGATCGCAGAAGAATATCGATGAGAAAATGAGTCGCGAAGCTCTTTGGGCCAAGGAAAAGGAGATCTTTACCAAGAACGAACGCATGAAGAGATTGCCAGAGAAGAACTGGGGCACCCTGCGCTTGATGGAAAAAGTTGCCAAGATTCAAGAAGCTCGTGTGGACGAATGCCTCCCGAAGATCAAGGAAGCAGTCCGACGGAAGACTGGCGAGCTTCGGGAGGAATTGCGCCAGTTGCCGGTCCAAGCAGAGACTGAGGCGGATCAATTCCGTTTGTTCAACGGAATTCTTGCCCGGATCAGAGATGATTTGGTGCGCAGGATCCGTGCGGAGTTCATGAGTGCTCAGACTTCGGACCGGGAACTGACAATTGCTCCGATTGTCGCTTCCATGGTTCAGAAATTCAGAAAGGAACTCCTGTCCCGAAATCCTGATTGGTTGGGAGAAGCTATGATTGAAGAGGTGGATGACACCGTGCAGACCTTTGTGACTGGCTACACTGTGGACAATCTCACCGGTCCCCAGGTCTTTATCAACCTCATCAAGCAGACCTTCATTGATGAAGGGCTGTTGAAAGACAGCGTTCATGGCTTGGTCACAGATGTCGGTGAGCACCTTCGCAATGTGGTGATGCATGTCATCGGACAATATGCAAACATCAATGGCATCCTTTCCAACCGTTTGGATTCGAAGGCCGAGGAATGCATTGACCAACTTACGGTGAAAGCCCAAGATGTATGTGGGATGCTGGCAGAAGCTCAGCAAGTCACCTCTACCACGCATGGAGCGTACATGGTGAGGCTGACCCAGTTCCGAAAGTCTTGGTTTCAGGAGGCCGCTGAAGGAGTGGCATATCTTGCCAAAGCTCTCGTCTTGGGTGTAGAAGCACAAAGTGGCGAAGGGCAGAACGAGCTCCCGGCAGAGTTCTTGAGCTTGGTGAAGCAAGCGCAAGAAGAACCGGAGAAGCTCGCAACCCTGGAGATCTGTGCTTCACTGCACGTCTACACGGGGCTAATGATTGAGGGCTTCGTCGAGATGTCGGCGAAACTCGTCAAATTCAACATGGTTGAGCAGCTGGCAGACAAGCTGGAGGAGATCTGGAGAGAGGAGTTGGGCGGAACCAATCTACATGAGCTTTTCCCCAAAGATGAAACCATCGTCCATCAGCAAGAAGACTTAAAGGAGAAGATCGCGGTCCTCACAGATTTTAAGGCGGCACTGGGGCCGTTCCTTGCGGGTCGGGGGCTGTTGCCAACTGCCTTACAAACATAATAGCACTTAGTGTAGCACTTTGCTTCAAATTTAGTTCCCGGCTCACCCCTGACAGGAGCAGATGACGACATAGCGCACCGCTGTGCTGCCGGTGCAGAAGGGCAAGCGGACCATCACCGAAAAGGCGCAGGCTAGGGCAGATGCCAAGGCTGAGGAGGTGGCAACAGCTGCAAAATTTCAGGCGGCTCAGGCCAGGGCTTCAGATGCAGATGGGACAACCAAAAAGTCAGAGCCCTTTGTGTGGGACTTTGCGAAAGATGTGGAGGGCGAAACATTCCAAAAGGGCGACGAAATCAGGAGCCAGAAGTTCAGCCTGTTGGGCGTGCCCGATTTGCAGATGAGCTTGTATCCGCAGGGGCATACAAATGCCACAGGGGGCCACATGTCCCTGTATCTCAATGCCCCTGAAGGGTGGCAGATCAAGTACAAGGCAACCTGTGGGGATGAGGTGCAGACACTTTTGCACACTTTCAGCGAAGAAGATTCTGAAGAAGGGTGGTGGGGATGGCGAGACTTTGCCCCCATCAGTGACAAGACGACCAAGATTGCCGTGGAGCTCCTTGAGGCCGTTCCACCGGAGGCAAAGGCCTAGTTCACCACATGGTGCTGACAGAGCCTTGAAGGGATTCGTCTTGTAAAGGGTGCACCCTTTGATCGGATCCCAATTTTGATTCTTAACGATTTAGAAGATGGCTTGACTTGGACATGAGGGAGCTTGGAGAGGCTACAATGGTCCCTGGCTACCTTCTAACAGACCCAAGCAAGCTGCAGACAGAAAAAACCAAACACCTTTTCAAATTTGTTTAGTTTGCGATTGTGGTGCAAAAGGCATGGGTTCTGGCTCATGTTCAATCAGAGGAGAAATTTGAGTGGATGCAGAGCAGCATACATACAGACCTCCGATTAACATACATGGACAGACAGTCAGGGCAAGCTTCGCCAGCCATGCAGTCTTTCCATGTCTTCCCCAGGCATTGCGTTAGGGCCGTTAGGGCCCAGCTTCTGCAGCTGCGATGGATGCCATGAAATGCCAGAGGCTCAGCTGCGTCATGCACGTGTGGCGTTGTCTGAGTCCTAGTCCTCCCTTCTGATGTCTAAAACCTGGATGATTGCCCTTTGGCATTCTTTCTTTGATTTTCGTTCGGATGGAAGATACAACCCATGCTTCTTTTTAGGAGTACTTGTCAAGGGTGTCTTGACCATTTCGTACATCCCAGGCTGCTGATTGCGTTCTACAGATTCTACCGCAATGATGATTCCTATGCTCTGCAATTCTTTCGGTGAGGATCCTGGCTTTCTGGAAGAGAAGTGTATTTAATTTAATTGAAATCATTCTTGCACACAATTGACAACATCATGCAGTTGGTGTAGGCTCGTACTTTCCCTTTGGCTTGCGTGTCTTGTTCGTGCTCTTAGCCTACGTTCCACGAGCATTCAATACTTCTGCCAACCCGAGGAGACATGCTCCTCAAGGCGCGCATGATACAAAGATAATGTTGGCGGTGCTTGCAGGATTGTTTGATCGGTGTCTTGCCAACTCCATCCTAGCATTTCCAAGACAATGGTCATTGCCAGCATCCGAAAAAATATTGGGCATGTTGACAAGGAGAAACCTAGTGCGGGTAGGCAATTTTGGCAGTTCCCTGACTGTTGGGTGTGCTCTGAAGGGATGGCGACAAGCTGAGTGGATGCCATCGAAATCAATCTCTTGGGTTTGACATGAAGGACCGTTGTTTTTGACATTGGGTCGTTTTTATCTTTTTTTGGTGGAAAACCAGAGAGACCAGCTCTCTCTCTCTCTCTCTCCCCCTCTCTCTCTCAACCTGTGCCAAAATGCCTTCTGTCCCACCTGGCCACAAGTTGGGAACCTGCTTCCTGGGTAAACATCCCTTGTGTAACATCCCCAACTGGGCCGAACTATGATCTATCGCTTTTCAAACAACGATTGTACCAGCGCCAAACCAAGATGCACATCCAATCACCAAATGCAGCAATTGAAATGGGTCTGTGGTGAATCCGTTTGGCTCGTGATGCTTCACAAAACCGCAATCTACCAGCAAGGATCAAAAACTGGAGACTCACCAGGCACTCAAGCAATCTATAATATGTTGCGCCATGTCTCCACTTTTCAGGCCAGAAAGGGCAGAGACTGCGAGAGAATTGGATGACGCAGGTGGGGTACATGCGGTATTTCAAATTTCCCACTTCCCTGCGATCAGAGCTATTGGAAAGCATCCTGCTGGAGTGGTCTTCAACGGTCATCCATCCTTGTCAGATGTGTTGCATAGATTTTATTCTACAATTCGCTTTTTTTTTTGTGGGGAATGGAGGGTCCTCATCATGCTTATGGCTGATATGGTTGACTTTCCCATTCCAAACTGGTGCTCACTGCTTCCCATCTCGTGCCCGAGATTGAAATTGCTTTCATAGCTTCGGTGCCCAGCGCTCCCATGATTCAGGCTCTGAATTCCATTTGCGTCTCTGCAGCACAACTTGTGCCCAGGTGTCATTTTCCCATTGATTAAAAAGGGCGATATACCCCAATTTGTTGGAAGCACTCTAGAAAACATTGCTTAGAGGACACGTTTTATTGGGAAACACTGTAAATCCATGTAAATCCACATTTCCGACGCTTAATTTTTTCACGGTTGAGCAACCAAGTCTAATAATGAAATAACATCACATCACATCCACCAGTTGCCTTCTTTTGTTTCCGCACATGGCGGACAGCAGCTCCTGTCTGTCCAGCCTCACCAGCGTCTTCCATGACCTGCTGGGTGAAGGCGCGGCCAAGGAGGTGGCGGCTGATTGGCAGCTGCAGCAGGTCACCAGGAGCCATGGCGTTGCTCGGTGGATTGGCAGATTTTCGGTCGGATCAGGTGTCCTTCATACGATTTCGTTAAACTGGGATAATTATCATTACCACCGCTCGACTTTGGATCTGGTTCCATGCGAGTGTTTTACGGACTACACCCTAGCTCATCCCCTTAAGTGCAGGGGTGGGGCAGTGGCCCGCCTGTCCGCCTAGTGTTGCACCCGGGTATTGAACCCGGGTCTGACGCATGAGGGGATCTGGTTCCATGCTTCAAAATTAACGAATTTTGTTTATGTTTACAGTCAACGCATAACCTATGAGATCCACACCCGTTTTTTCCCCAACAGCAGAATGCTTTGGGGTCTTCAGCCATAGTAAAGGTTTCGGAGCAGACCGGAGCAGCTCCAAAACCCATTCCCCCAAGGTTCCCAGGTTCCAAGTAAAGGTTCCCAGGTTCCCAAGTAAAGGTTCCCAAAGTCAAGGTTCCAGGTTCCCAAGTAAAGGTTCCCAAGTAAACGTGTCCAGGCTCCCAAGGTGACATTGTAAAGGTTTCTATAAGATTCCCAAGGATAGATTGTCAAGGTTTCTTCAAGGTTCCCTGAAGGTTTCTTCAAGGTTTCCTCAAGGTTCCCTGAAGGTTCCCAAGTTTTCCAAGGTTCCCAAGGTTGTATTGTAAAGGTTCCCTCAAGGTTCCCAAGGTTACATTGTAAAGGTTCTCAAGGGTTCCAAGGTTATATTGTCAAGGTTTCCTCAAGCTTTCCAAGGTTGCATTGTAAAGGTTCCCTCAAGATTCCCAAGTTTCCCAAGTAAAGGTTGTCAAGGTTCCCAAGGTTGTATTGTAAAGGTTTTTCCGCAAGCTTTCCGAGGTTGCATTGTAACGGTTCGCCTCAGATTCCCAAGTTTCCCAGTAAAGGTTGTCAAGGTTTCCCAAGGTTGTATTGGTAAAGTTCCCTCAAGTTCCCATGTTTTTTCCACGTAAATGTTCTCAACGAGGACTCCCCAAGTCGTTATTATGTCCAGGTCCCATAGTATATTTCTCCGGAAATATATTAGTTTCTTTAAGAATTTGAATTCGGCTTACACGCGCGGACACACGCATAACAGGTTGTATTTAAAGGTTCCCCCATCAAGGTTCCGCAAGGTACATTGTAAAGGTTTCTCAAAGGTGGTTTCCAATGTTATATTGTCAAGGCCTTCCTCAGCTGTTCCCAAGGTTGTATTGTAAAGGTTCCCTCAAGGTTCCCAAGGTTACATTGTAAAGGTTCTCAAGGGTTCCAAGGTTATATTGTCAAGGTTTCCTCAAGCTTTCCAAGGTTGCATTGTAAAGGTTCCCTCAAGATTCCCAAGTTTCCCAAGTAAAGGTTGTCAAGGTTCCCAAGGTTGTATTGTAAAGGTTCCCTCAAGGTTCCTAAGTTTTCCACGTAAATGTTCTCAAGGTCCCGGTTATTATGTAAAGGTTCCCAAGTAGTAATATTCGTCGTAATATAGCAATTTCTTGAAGAAATTTGAATGCGGCTACACGCGCCGAACCCGCGCAGAACAACACGCGCGGAACCCGC